GTTTGTTACTGTTGGCATGGATTTTGAGGTCTCCTATGTTCAAGATCTGTCCGGTGTCACAAGTCACTTCCTGTTGCCTGCAGATCAAGATGGAGAACTTCTTCTCCAGCACCATGTCTGACTGAATGTTGCTATGCCTCTCACCATGATAATGAACTAAATCTCTGAAACTGTAAACCAGACCCAGTTAAATGTTTTCCTTTATAAGAGCTGTCATGGTTGTGGTGTCTCTTCCCAACAATAGAACCCCTAACTACGACAGAAGCTTAGCTGGGTGAACCACCACTCCCTTGACTCCACGGAGCATCATTAGTTTGTTTATACATCCTGGCGCTCCTTTTCTTCTCAAATTGTACACTTTATGATGACACAAAATAACCCCACACTAGTTCAGAATTATGTATAATAAAGGGTTATTTATTTAGGAGAGACATACAGATCACTATCCTAGATCACAATCCTCTGCAGGAACAGAGTCTAGCAGCTGGAAGTGAGAGCTGGAAGCAAGAGAGCTAGCTTCCATAGTACTAGAAGGCAGCATGCAAGCTTCCAAGGGAGTAAAGTAAGCAGCATACTTACCCAGCTCTGGTCCCTATAAACTAAAACAATGGCCAGCACAGCATGGCATGATATCCCTAAAGGTACAAGAGTGGCACCCAAACCTTAGCAGTAACAAAGAGCAGCTGTCTCATTGGATGTAAGACCTGCTCAACAAGAGGAAAGTGGTACCCAAAACCTAGGCAACTGCCAGGGCTAACGAGCTCATGGACCTCGGAGAACCTACTTTACTGAACCAACATAATTCCTAACTACATTCTAAATATTTATCCTTCTATCCAGATACGTATATGTCTCACCCCTCATCAAAGAAATGTCTCCTTGCCAACAGATAAGAGACCATAACTTAAATATATGTATATGTATATAATACCTATAATATATAATAGAGGCTGTAAATTTGAGAAAACAAAGGGTGCATGGAAATAGTTAGAGGAAAAAGTATGTAATTATAATTTTAAAAAATTCAAAAACTTAAAAAAATAGATCTGGATTGCTGATACAGAATTCCATCAGAAGTCTGAAGATACTAAAGTTTTTTATAATCTTCAATTTCTTTCTTGGAGTTAGTTGTTGCTACACACAATTCTTCATGCTGATACTCCCTGAATATGCCCTGAGAAAAGCAGTTTCCTTAGTAGTCACGTTTGAATTAATCCCCTTGGTAAGTAGAAGCCACAGTCTTGGGTGAGTTTAATAGGCTCAGCCAGGAGGTGAACCACGATTAATAAAAGCTCAGGGTCAGAAATTGGGGTTCAACCTGAAGATCTGAAAAGCAAAACAGCCAGTCAGTCACTGGCTCTGACCTCAACCTCAGACAGAAATGATGATCCTGTCTCTAGGAATCTCAGAATGAGACTGTGTGTTGAGAGTTGTTTCCTCCCATTTTATAATCCTCTCTGGGGCTGGGGATTAAAGGCGTGCACCATCAGGATTAAACACATGCACCACCCAATTTCTATGGCAACTAGTGTGTCTACTGGGATTAGAGGTGTGTGTCATTGTGGTTACTGAGATTAAAGGTGTGTGTTACCATAACCTGGTCTGCAAGACTGACCAGTGGGGCTGTTTTACTCTCAGATCTTAAGGCAGTCTTTATTTATTAATGGCTAAAATAAAAAACACCAATGATAGCATTTGCTGGAGAGGTTGTGGAGAAAGGGGTACACTCATCCATTGCTGGTGGGAATGCAAACTTGTGCAACCACTTTGGAAAGCAGTGTGGCGGTTTCTCAGGAAATTCGGGATCAACCTACCCCTGGACCCAGCAATACCACTCTTGGAAATATACCCAAGAGAGGCCTTATCATACAACAAAAGTATATGCTCAACTATGTTCATAGCAGCATTGTTTGTAATAGCCAGAACCTGGAAACAACCTAGATGCCCTTCAATGGAAGAATGGATGAAGAAAATATGGAATATATACATATTAGAGTACTACTCAGCAGTAAAAAACAATGACTTCTTGAATTTTGCATGCAAATGGATGGAAATAGAAAACACTATCCTGAGTGAGGTAAGCCAGACCCAAAAAGAGGAACATGGGATGTACTCACTCATTTGGTTTCTAGCCATAAATCAAGGACAGTGATCCTAGAGAAGCTAAATAAGGAGAACCCAAAGAAAAACATATAGGCATCCTCCTGAATATTAACTTTTATCAGGCGATGAAAGGAGACAGAGACAGAGACCCACATTAGAGCACCGGACAGAAATCTCAAGGTCCAAATCAGGAGCAGAAGGAGAAACTGAACATAGTGGACAATGAGGACTACTGAGAACTCAAGAACAATGGCAATGGGTTTTTGATCCTACTGCATGTACTGGCTTTGTGGGAGCCTAGGCAGTTTGGATGCTCACCTTACTAGACCTGGATGGAGGTGGGGGTTCCTTGGACTTCCCACAGGGCAGGGAACCCTGATTGCTCTTTGGGATGACAAGGGAGGGGGACTTGATTGGGGGAGGGGGAGGGAAATGGGAGACGGTGGCGGGGAAGAGAGAAATCTTTAATAAATAATTTTTTTTTAAAAAAAGAGAAAAAACTACAATTGAACCACCCCCGCAAGACAGCACCGAGGTGTGCTTGGCATGCCAAAGCTGCTCCTCACATTCGCTGCCTTTCCATCCTCACTACTCTGTCAAACTGCGCCATTGTCACTGGGAGTTTGCAGGGATAATTTCTCTTTTCAGTGGTTTATTCCATGGCCTGAAGAAAAAGCTGCTTCTGTTACTTAACTACAAGAGTAAAGAACAAGAGTTCCCAACACAGTCCTAAAATTTAATATTGTTAATTTCTAATTTTATTACACTGTGATCTGATAGGACACACAACGTCTCCATTTTTTTGCTTGTTGAGACTTGTGCCCTATGGCACAATGAATTTTGGAGAAATTCCATCACTGCTGAGAAAGATATTTCTAATCTATTGAATGGAATATTCCGTATATGTTAAATCCAGTTGAGCTGTACCAGTGGTTCTCAACCTGGGGGTCAATAGACCTTTTCACAGGGGTTGCCTATCAGATATTTACAATTCATAACAGTAGCAAAATTACAGTTATGAAGTACCAATAAAATTGTATGGTTGGGGATCACCACACGATAAGAACATAAAGGGTTGCAGAACTGGGAAGGCTGAAAACAGCTAATCTGTATGATACTTTAGCTCTTTCAGTTTGGAATACCTGAGTGTAGGGTGAAGTCCCCCTGCTATCATTATGTTAAAACCTATGTGGCCTTATGACTTTATTGTTTATGAAATTGAGGACTCCAACATTAGGTACATATTTACAATTGTTATATATTCTTAATGAATTTTTATTAATATGCAGTTTATCTTTAATTAGTTTTGGTTTGAACTTTATCTAAGGATAGCTACACTAGCCTGCTTGCTGCCAAGCATGATGACCTGAGTTCGATTCCTGCAATTCTAGTACTTGCACAGTGAAAAGACAGAACTTCCAGAAGTTGTCCTCTGACCTCCACACATATATGACATGTGCACTCCCAGCGATTTAAAAATCCTACATGTATACATTTTAAAAATGTTAGAGACCTACTGAATAGTTAGTTACTAAAGTCCTTATTCCACTTAATAATCTCATAATCTCCTAGTGAGTTAATTATTCAACAAACGTTTCAAAAAACTAAAATTATCTCAAGACTGCACAAATCATTTTGGTGTTTAAGGCAGGGTCTTGATGCAGAGTGTGGACTGGCCCTAAATTTGGGATGCTACTGCCTCAGCCTCTGGAGGGTTGTGGTTACAGGTTATGTACTACCGAGCCCAAGAAGGAATAATAAATTCCTAAGAGGATCAAAATAAATATTGAGAACCCACAATTGTGAAAAATGAAGATAATGAGGTCTTAGAGAAGGGGATACACATGTCAACAATATGAAAATAATTCCAGCCGGGCAGTGGTGGTGCACGACTTTAATCCCAACAGAGGCAGGCGGATCTCTCTGAGTTTGAGGTCAACCTGGTCTACAGGAGCTAGTTCCAGGACAGGCTCCAAAGCTACAGAGAAACCCTGCCTTGAAAAAAGTTAAAAAAAAAATAATAAAATAATTCTTTCTTAGAACTTACTTGAAAATGAGATATTTTTGACAAATTCTTTGGCCCAACATTCAAGATATGGGTATTTCTATTACCAAATAACAGCAGATACAACTTCTAGGAAATAAGATCCATAAATATAATAAATTCATTTTTTAAAAAATTCTTAAAAGTACGGTTAGTGAGATAGCAAAGCAGATAAAATACAAGCTTGGGAACTTCAATTCAGAGCCCCGGTACTCACATAAAAAAGCAAGGAATGGTGGTGGCCTGTACCTGTAACCCCAGCAGTGAGGCCAGGGGGATGGGACGAGACATAAGAAACCTAGAGGCTTGACTAGCCACCTAGTCTAGTAGATACTGCAAATTCAAATCGGTGAGAGGGCCTGCCTCAAAAATAAATAAGGCAAAGAGCAACAGAGGTCACCCAAACGTCAACCTCTGCCTTCACAGGCAAACATACCTGCACTATTCATGTGCACATATACATACCCAAAATTCTTAACGGGTGAGAGGGCTAGGAATGTACTTAATGGTAGAATGAGTACCTGACATGCCTTGAAATCATTCCAAGCACTGCAAGAAATTTCGAGTGTGTGTTGTGTTTGGGTTAATTCCCAAAGATAGTTTCAGTTTTATAAAGTCTCTTTTTCTCAACCAGACCTAATTAGGAAAAGCCTTGTGACGGAACACTTGCTCTCAAAAGCAAATATACAAAAATTACAGTTGTTGAGACCTTCAAGCTACTGAAATAGAAGATGGTAGGTAATGCAATAGAAATGACCAAATGGCAATAAAATACAGTGATTTCTGGCTAGATAATGACCCATTTATACACTGTACATCCCAGAACTGCATAATAAAATGACAACAGTGAAGATCAGGTTGTAAATATTTGTATTTCTCATTCACACACAATATTGCATGAGACATTACTATTTTCATATGCATCCATAGGATTAACACTCATACGGAGTATAACATGGAAAAGTGCAGAACTAAAGAAATAACTCTAACAACAACAAAAGCACACATTTCTTAGGATTTAAAAATATTGCACATAAAAGGTTGCACAGAAATTACTGGCTGCTTTTATAAAAAGAATGAGGTATTAGTCAATCTCTAGATAAAGGTAAGTTCAAGAGGAACTATACACATACACACCAAAAAAAAAAAACAAACAAACAAACAAAAAAAAAAACCTAAAACACACACACAAAAAAAACCAAAATACATAAACTAATACTAAGACCTAGAAAGTCAACAAAAAAGAAAAAGATGTTTAAGTAGCTATGATTTTGATCATACAAAATCATTAGCTCAGGACCAAACACAATCTCTTGGCAAATATTTCATCTTAAGTTTTAAACTTTTTCAGCTTAACTACGTGCAATACAATCATTCCTGTTACACCAATTCTACTGCAGAAGAGGCATCTTTTTGTGATAAATATCAAACCACCACTTTCTAAAGCATTCAGTGGCAATTAGCCCGGAGCCTACTGTCTCCTTCACTGACCAACTCAATTAGTTTCACAGACATTTAGTAACCCAACTCACAGGTGCTACAGGGCATGCGATTTTAAATTAGCAGAGGTTTCACTGCAAAAATTATTCAAGATCACACAATTTATCTTTTAAAGTTTAATCTTAAGTATGTACCAGACAAATTGAATTTTGTTTGTGGATTTTTTGGGCGTGTGTGGCCAAATTAAAGAGTTAAACGATAGGTAAAGAAAAAAAGATCTTGCAAATGATCTTCTTTCAAAAGAATTTTTCCTAATCAGGAAAATTAATAATTAGAGTTGTCTGCTAGCTGTATGTGATTGAATCTGTCAAAAAAATTTAATATATGGAATACCTACAACCAATGGCTTAATGTTATGTGAAATCATGCATTTGTTAAAATAGTTCAGAGAAAACTGTTTTTTCATCACACATAGTGAGAAAGAATAAACTAAGAGGGCTTAGTGGAAACTGGAAGAACCAACTATTGTCCTGAACAGTCAGTATATGTAGTAACCATATTTCCTCTTCGTTGAGTGACAGTCCTGCAGTGCTTACTAGAGCCATGAAATCTATTTTCAGTCTGTACTGTGTGTCGATTGGTGGTCTCAAAGCCACTAAAAGAAAACATTTTCTCCATATCTTCAAACATATCATCAAACAATCCACCGCCAAAAGAAAACTCCTGGAAATGATGCCGCTGTCTATTGGAGCCATCCTGGCGTGTCTGAAAGTGATTTTCAAAATGCTTCTTGGACCGAGTGTTTTGGTTCTGGCCAAAAATATTAAAGTCTTTAAATAAGTCATCAAAATTGAAGTTAAAAGACTGCTCAAAAGGACTTCCACTCCCTCTCTGTCCTTTGCCATTAGTGAAAGCACTGTGTCCAACTGTATCGTACTCTTTCCGCCTATGAGCATCTGAGAGAGTTTCATATGCTGAAAGAGATAAAAACCTTTTAGCAACTGAGACAAAATATTTAAAATGTCTACGTAAACTTCAAACACATGATTTCATCTTATGTACTTCAGGAAAGAATTTCACATCACAAAATATTACAATTAATATAAAAATATAAATTGTAAAAGAAGGCACGGACTTTGTTTTATCAACTTATATATCACGAATAAACATGGGAAAAATTAATTTGTTAGTCTTCAGATTATTTGTGCAAAACTATCATTTGTGTTAAAGAATTAAATTATCAAATGTATCCAACTAATAGAAAATCAGGTTTTTCACTTACTATAAACGAAGGAAATGTTTCATTCCAACTCCTAGTTATGGCCATTAACTACTTAAGTAATTTGCAGAATGTACAATTTGCTTTAGAACTGGTGCTAAGACAAAATGTGCTTTAGTTTTAAAGACACGGTTTGAAATGCAGATGCAGTAAAGACACCTTTAACCTATATTAAATCTACTATATTAACCTATATAAACCTATTATATTATATCAATACTTAGTAAAATACATTCCTTAAGTTACTTAATAAGAATTTGGGCATTCTAATCCCTTTTTATACACAGTGATCGCATAAATAACAAGTAAGGGAAATAATGTACTTCCAATATTTTTTAGAATTGTAAACCAATAAAATTACCTACTATAATTCATTACTTACTCAGCAGCCAGGTATCTATTCTAACAAAAGAATTACAAAAGCCTACATCAAATTCTTCCATCTCCACAGCATCTTTAAGAGCACACAAATTCTCGATTAGCATCACTGCAGGAACAATCATTACTTACCTTCTGCAATCTCTCTGAATTTTGCTTCAGCATCAGGGCTCTTGTTTTTGTCAGGGTGGTACTTCATGGCTAATTTGTGAAAGGCCTTCTTTATTTGTCTCTCTGAAGCAGATTTTGGCACACCTAAGATATCATAGTAGCTTTTTGAAGCCAGGATCAATTCTGTTATCATTAAAATGCAAATCGCAAAGACAAAAACTGACTGGGGAGTAGCCATTTCTAATATCCTAAAAAAGAAAGAAAAACAGGTGTTTTACCCAAGGAACGCATCTTAAGACTTCTAAAAAGCAATCAAACTCAACAAACCTTTGGTTTATGAGACTTACAGCAGCATCGGAATGTTATGCACACAGTATCTTACACTCATGATAGTGAGCTGTCAGTTTCTCTAATAGGAAGAATCTATTAGCAAGTATTTTGCTTATCTGTTGAAAAGTTAAACTGATCCTTTCTTAGGAAGGCAAGATTTCTATTTATGTTGATAATCAACTTTTGTTTACCTGTCTTGTTAATGATTATTGCCTCTTCAGAATCCTGTTTAAGAGAGCCAGGAATCCTAAGTACAAGCTGGCCTAGTTGGCCTGATCTTCCTACCCCAGCTTCTGAGTTGTCTGCATCACATCTAGCGTCAGAAATTGACCCAAATATTGAAAAACTCTGTCTTCTCTGCGTTTGGCTAGAATCTCAGCAGCAAGGCAAAGGTGGGGAAGGAAAGAGGCTTCTCAAGTTGGTTAAATCTACTTACTCTTTCTTTTTTTTTTTTTTTTTTTTACTTACTCTTTCTTAAAGGGGTTAAAACAATCAGTTTTGCCGGGCGATGGTGGCGCACGCCTTTAATCCCAGCACTCGGGAGGCAGAGGCAGACAGATCTCTGTGAGTTCGAGACCAGCCTGGCCTACAGAGTTAGTCCCAGGACAGGCTCCAAAGCCACAGAGGAACCCTGTCTCGAAAAACAAAAACAAAACAAAACAAAAAATCAGTTTTCTTTTATGTAGGTCCCAAATATTTAAGAAATAGGGGTAAAGAGCCTCTCCTTAAAGCTCAAAAAATTAAGCTAGGTGGTGGTGGCGCAGGCCTTGATCCCAGCACTTGGGAGGCAGGGACAGGTGGATTACTTTGAAATTCAAGACCAGACAAGTTCCAGGACAGGCACAGAGAGACACCCTGTCTCGAAAAACCAAAAGAAAAAGGGGAGAGAGAGAAAGGAAGAAAGGAAAGAGAAAGAAAGAAAGAAAGAAAGAAAGAGAAAGCTCAAAATTAATAAAATGTAAGACTTACTGAGGCTAGGCTACCAGAGGAAGGCAATAGTTTGTACTTTGGATAAGTTATTAGGCTCTCCAAATTTCTCAGCGAGTCAACTGTTTCTCGTTAAAACAATAAGCTTTACTTAGAATTACTGATAATACTCGTTGGTTTGCTTTTTTTCAATGCTGTACCACAGACGTCCTTAATAACCTATGATGACATAACACGGCTGACGAAAAAGTATTATGGCTTGTGGAAATGCCGCCGTCCTCTCCTGTGGCCTCTTCTGAGCCTAATGAGCAGGTGGATTACTTCTTTTTCCCTGAGAATTAGTCATAGTCACGCGTACCAGCCATAAAGTTCAACCTCTTGATCTACAGACAGAAGCCGGACAGAGCGGCACACGCCTTTAAACCCAACACTCGAGGGGCAGGGAGAGGCGATTACTTTGGAAGTCAAGGCCAGCCTGGACAACACACTGAGCTCCAAGGACAGCCAGGATGATCCTGCTTTAAAAATAATAATAATAATACAAATAAACCTAAGCGGAGCGTGCCTGGCGAGCTCCAGGAACCGCGGCTGTCCACTCGCCAAAGGGCGAGCCCACACCCGGCAGCAGGGCGCCCTGCCCGGCTTCCCGCCGACCCCGGCTCTGCTTCAGCGGCCTAGCTGCCCCGTCGCGGCGACTTGGCTCGAACAATGGCAGCGCCCAGGTCGACCCCGCAGGCCGGCCGGTTCCGCCCGCTGCATTCGGGGGCGCCGGCCCGGCCGACGTCGGGCGAGGGGACCGGGCTCCTGGGCACCGCGAGCAGGCGCAGTGACGCAGCCCCCCGCCCCCCCCCCCCCCACTACACACACACACACACACACACACACACACACCGGGGTCCGTCCCCTCCGCGCCGCCCGGCCCGGTCCTCACCCGCGCGTCCGTCCCGCTGCAGCTGCTCCACCCCGCGGTTCGGCTCCCTCTCCGCGGCCGCTCTCGCTCCGGCTCCCCGCCGCCGACCTGCCTCCGTCCCGCGCGGCCCGCTCCCTACTGGCGGGAGTCCCTACCGGCGCGGCCTCCCCCGAGCCGACCTACACGAAACGCTCGCCCATTGGCCGCCGCCCGCCCACCTGACTTTGGCGCCTTACGCGCACGTGGAAAACTGTTGTTGCCGTTTGGGCCTCACGTCACTTCCGGTACCAGCCTCCAGGGGGTGGCGCTAAAGTCAGGGGAAGCGGAAGTGAGTCGGACCAATCCCCACCCACCCAAATCCTTCCCTCCTGGGGCGGGGTGACGCGCAGGCGCGATGGGCTGCGCGCGGGGCTTAGGGCTCCGCTGGAGAGAGGACCTGGCTACATGCCCTGCTGCTGACGGGCCGTTTGCTGCAAGGATCGCCGCCGTCGTAATAAAGACCGGAAGCTGAGGTTTTATACGTTAGTAGCCGTGTGGCCTGAAGACTCAGCCTCACCCTTAGGTGGTGAGGCGGAGCCAGGCGTGGGTCTGTCACCTGTTCGTCTTACCATCCCTCAGTTCCCCAAAAAGCTTGAGCCCGCGGTCCTTAACGCAGCTTTGCATCAAGTTTCAAACACTGAAGTTTGCACGGTACGCGGGCGGTTTTCAACCCTTCCCATGCTTTAGCTGACCCCCATTTCAACGTAAACTACATTTCCAGTGCATCTGATTCGCTAATAGGGTTGCTGTGAGGTTGGTCACACAGGTAGATTGTAATCCTATGTTTCTTCTTCGAAAACTCATGCCAAAAATGCTGGGCAACCTTGAGCATTCTGATAGATTGGAAGTATAACTTGTGTCCTGTTTGAGGGTATTCATACACATCAATTAGTACGGAGAGCATGATAGGTAAGTTTATTATTTAGAATAAAGATAGGACAGCATGAAATATTTCAGAAACAATAGATAAGTACTTCATTCATAAACCAAAGCAAGTGGTGTGTCAGATTCCAAAGGCGGATTAACCGAGTTCAAACCCTGGTTCCCTTGCCTTAGTAACTTTTGCAAAGTCTTAAAGCTGTCAGTTTCTCAGTTTACTCTTCTGTATGGATAAACAAAACAGTGTTTGGAGTATATGCTTAACATAAATATATATGTGTGTGCATATATATATATATATATATATATATATATGAAAATCAGTGCAGGCAAAATATTTTGTTTCCTTTTCTTTCCCCTTGTATTTAAAAGTAATTCCAGATAGAGCTAACCTGATTTGTCATTTGCTTCCAAGTTATTTTGAGAATACTATTTTTCTTTAGTTCTGATGATGTTATTCAATAATGGTTCAGTCAAATAATGTGACAAAAATATAAGCCCAAGTAATTCACATGGCATACTGTTATTTCTATGATCGGTTTCCTTGAATCCCTTCCACAAAATGCAATGATACTTAGTAAAGAGAAAGAAAAGTTCAATTCATAATTAGTTGCAAGGCCAGTGTCATTGATGGTTCTGGAGTCAAAGATCTTTCAGATATCTTTGCTCTGTATGGAGGACATCATTTCAGAATTAAATATCTTTCTACTATCAGTATAAGAATCTAGTACTTCATTTGTATGCATTTAGTGTTCATCTTCTATTGTCTACATGTATATTAGTCCAGTCACTAAACCCTTCTATTGTCTACCTGTATATTAGTCCAGTCACTAAACCCTTCTTGCCTGGGCCCACACATGTTCACGTACACAGATGTACATGGAAACAGAGTAAAGCTCATGATGACGCACTAAAATTGTTTGCCCTATCTTTCTGCCTGGCTACTGGCCAATCAGCATTTATTAAACTAATATGTGTGACAAATCCTTACAGTGTGCAAGAGCATTGTCTTATAGCATACAATGCTTTAATTTTAATTCTGTAATTAACAACTTTGAGGAAACAGAGTATATAGGTGGAGTATAACTTAGAGAAATAATCCAACTATTATTACCTTACTGAGAAGAGACTGTATTTGATATATTTAGACAATAACAGTCTTAACCCAGCACATCTTAAAATTTAAAAAAATCTTCTTATCAATAAAAACCACTCTAAAGGGAGTGGGAGGGAAATGGGAGGCGGTGGCGGGGAAGAGACAGAAATCTTTAATAAATAAATAAAAATAAAACAAAAAAAACCACTCAAAATGTTTCTAGTAGAGGACTCACTATGAAAGCACAATAAAAATTCTGTATATGTATATAAGCTAGCAACATAGTCACTCATTATCATTGTCCAGTACTATGCACGTATACTATCTCCTACTGTCTACATATATAATAATTTTATGTGCTGTACTCTCATGAGTCTGGCAATGTCGTGAGTTTGTTCAAACCAGTGTCACCCAACCTTGTCCTTAGTGTCATGTACTATGATGTTTTTATAGCTTCATCACTAGGCAATAGAACTTTTAAACTCCATTAAAGTTTTATAAAGCCATCATAATACATGCAGTCTGTCAGTATGCAATATTCAACAGTATATCCGAGAGACTCAGTATCTAAACAATGGGCATGGTTAGAAAAGTAGACGAGAAAAAAATAGATGAAAATAATGAAAGAAATAATGCAAGAAAATTTTTATAGATCAGAACATGTATTCCAAATGAAATAACCCACTGTGTGACTAGAACAGTAAATGGCAATAGGTACTCACTAAGGAAACATTAAAAACAAAACAATTACAACCCAAAAAGATTTGCAATAAAGAAGCAATAAATGAACAAAAACCCAGAAAGGAACCCCTGGGCATGGTGAAGCACATCTGTCATTGCAGCTACTTGAGAGGCTAGAGCAAGAGAATCCCATGCCTATGCATCAAAGTGAGATCTCAGTTCAAACAATGACTTCAGCTTCTTAATGGCTGTAATGTAAGCAAGCAGACAATAACCAATGATCTGAAAATTCTAAGTAGGGAGGATTTCTAAGGTAGAATTGTTTGATTCAAGTTCTCATAAAAGTGCCTCTACTGACCCCTTGTTAAAGAGTCTGTTGTAAAATGGATTATAGAAAAATAAGACCATCACAGTCTTGAGAATTATTTTCTGGAATGATTTTTAGACGATAATTTATTATCCAGCTGATCTAGAAAAAGAAATAGTAAAAAGATAATTCAAAACAAAATAGATGCAAAAAGAATCCTAAGTTGCTAAAAGTGGTCACGGTCCAAAAGCACCTTTACAAGTCTAGAGGGCAGCCAGGACCGGATGTTCAGAAATAGAGTTCTTCAGGAAGACAACAATGGACAGATTAGCAAATATGTTGAACGTCTTCATAGAAAACTCACATCTACTAGATTGGATTTAGGTATTGCCATTGAATTAATGATAAGCACAATGAGCAAATATTCACACAAAATACAGAAGGTCAAACTGTATTGGAGTACATAATTCTACTTAGTTAAAGCAGTGTAAATACAACATAACCATTTTTAAAATATAATCTTGTTAAGAAGTTGGGGGTTGACATGAAAGTGTGTGTGTGTGTGTGTGTGTGTGTGTGTGTGTGTGTGTGTAGAGCCATTTGGGAAGAAGGAAAATTGAGAGAATCCATCCATCATCAGATAGGCCTGTAGACAGGACTCTGGCACATTTCTTGTTGATGATTAATGAGGAAGGTCCCAGCCCACTGGGAAGTGCCACCCCTGGGCAGGTTGTCATTGGCTGTATAAGGAAGCAAGCTGATCAGGCCATGGAGAACCAGCCAGTAAATAGCATGATTACTCCGTGGTTCTGCTTCAGTTCCAGCCACCAGTTTCATGTCCTATATCTTTGCTTCCCTCAGTGAACTGTGACTCAGGGTATATGATCAACATAAATTCTGTCCTCCCTGCGTTGCTTTTCATCACGGTGTTTTATCACAGTAATAGGAAGCAGACTGAGATCTGTGCAGATGTGTCTGTGTACACATGCACGTGGATGTAAAAGGTGGGTGTTAGGAATCTTTTTCATTTTTCACCTTATTTTTGGAGAAAGGTTCTCTCACTGAACCTGGAGCTTACGAATTTGATAAACTAGCTGGTCAGCTAGCTCCAGGGATCCTCCCTAGTGTTAGGAGTACAGCTATGCTACTATGCCAGGATTTTTACACGGGTGCTGGGAATCCAAACCCAGACCCACCTGTTTTCACAGCAAGCACATTACCACCCCAGTCATTTCTGCAGCCCCAGTCCCCTTAGTCGTTCAGTTCTTTTACCTCCTCTAACTCTGTTAGCGACTCTTTCTTAACTTCCTTTCATAAAGCAAAGTATAAGCTTTTTTCCATCTTTTAACTTCATTGCTCAGCAAAAC